TGTCCTTTCACCTGTGACCTGCGTCACACCTGCACCCATCACAAAGCCAGCTGCATTGAAATCTCTGAATCGTGCAATCCCAAGTGCAGCAAACAGTTACCTGGAGCAGAGAGGTCAATGTGTTGACGTGTTTCCTGTTTGGAACCTAGGTCTGAAATACTATTGAGTTGAGCTACCTACCTCTATAGAGAGCAGTGATCCATGTCTCTAAAATGCTGTTCTCAAGAGACCTCAGAATTCCTAGAAATTTTTTGTTGTTGTTTTGAGACAGAGACTCACTCTGTCAACCAGAGTGGTGCAATCTCGGCTCACTGCAATCTCCAACTCCCGAGTTCAAGCGATTCTCCTGCCTCAGGCTCCTGAGTAGTTGAGGTTACAGGCATGTGCCACCAGACCCGGCTAATTTTTATATTTTTAGTAGAGACAGGGTTTCACCACGTTGGTCAAGCTGGTCTCAAACTCCTGACCTCAGGTGATCCGCCCCACTTGGCCTCTTAAAGTGCTGTGATTACAGGTGTGAGCCACCGAGCCCGGCCAGGATTCCTAGGAAATTACACTTAGAACAAAGTTTGCAGGGACACTTTGTTGATTTAGTGCCAAGCAGATGATTTTACAATCACTTCTCTGAGCATCTGAGAGATAGGAAGCATTTATTTTATTTTATTTTATATATTTAATTTTTTACGTGGATCATAGGAAACAAGATAGGAAGTATTTTAACATCTATATGTGTATTTCTCTATTCCTAAAATAAAGATAGCAGAAAGAGTCACTGTTGTGGGGGATTTTAAGTTGTTGAGGTGATTTTTCTAAAATATTATGGAAGGAGATCTATTCCGAAAGAAAGAACTTCAGTTCCCGCAGCCTTCTTGCTTTTAATAAGAAGCCTCTGGGAGGGAGCATTGCCCAGCGTAGCTGCTGAGCACCTGACCTTCGGAGTTGGACAGAACTTTGCTGACTCCCGGCTCTTAGCACCTGTGTAACCTGGCTTCTCTAAGCGTTGGTTTCTTCCCCAACCTCATTCTTACTGGTCGATGGGCTAGGCAAGGGAACACAGCAAGTAAGTTGGACAGAAGACAAATGAATGAGAGTTTGTCCAAAAAAAACCTCAAGAAAGGTAGATTAGGGATTAAAAATCAGAGCAAAATTCCGATGGTTTCTTATAGAACAAATTCAGGCTGATGTTTGCACAGGGGAGGCGTGGAGAGGAGAAATGTGGAAAGCTTGGGAGTCATGAGAGTTTGGAACAGCCCTTGTGAGGACAGGAGAGAAAGGGGCTTGAGGAAGATAAGACAAATCGGCTGGGGGCCAATGGCTGGAGGAGAGTATCAAGCGCCCTGCGTGGTGGACTGTTCCAGTAGGCTGATGGGGTGCAGGCGGTTCAGAGGAACCGGTGATGCAGTTATGCTGTGGCTGGGGTTTACAAAAGGCTAAGTGACTCACTAAAAGTTACACAGGGACACTTCCACAAACATCCTGGCCCCAAGTCCAGTGCTCTTTCTAATCTATCTAATCTATAACAGGATCCTTCCTTTTTTTTTTCTTTTTTTGAGACAGGGTCTTGCTCAGACGCCCATGCTGGACTGCAGTGGCATGAACATGGCTCACTGCTGCTTCAACCTCCCAGGCTCAAGCGATCTTCCTGCTATAACCTCCCTAGTAGTTGGGACTACAGGCACGCACCACCACACCAGGTTAAAATTATTATTTTATTTTTATTTTTATTTTTTAGTAGAGACGGGCTCACTGAAACTGCCTTTGCAAAAAAAATTTTTTTTTTTTTTTTTTTGAGACAGGGTCTCACTCTGTTGCCCAGGCTGGAGTGCAATGGTGAGATCTCGGCTCACTGCAACCTCCACCTCCCGGGTTCAAGTAATTCGCCTGCCTCAGCCTCTTGAGTAGCTGGGATTACAGGCATGCACCACCACACCCAGCTAATTTTTGTATTTTTAGTAGAGACAGGGTTTTGGAATGTTGGCCAGGCTGGTCTCAAACCCCTGACCTCATGATCTGCCCACCTTGGCCTCCCAAAGTGATGGGATTACAGGCATGAGCCACAGCGCCTGGCCAAGATAAATTAAAAATTATAACCAAGAAAATTATAATGGTGAAAGAGATCTGACCTAACTGTCTACATCTTGCTTCTAAACTCCAAACTGTCCTTGTTCTGGGTGTAGGCTGAACTAACATTGGGAGCTTAGTTTATGGTTCAGTTCTGAAACAGACGACAACAGTCCTTTCCCAAATCAAACCCCCTTCCTGCCTGGAGACTAGACTGCCTTGGTAGGACTAACAAATTAGCCACAAGATTACAAATTGTGGTTTAGGAGTCATGCAGCTGGAGGCTGCAAGATTCTAAACCTCCCCAAATTGCTCTTCAGGATGACGTCACTATTGTAAACCCTAAGATGAGTGCTTCAGATATTTTGCAGACCCTGTACTTGATGGATTGATCAGCTGGCATTACCCAGATCGATAAACTGGCTCATCCGGTTTTGTGGCCCCCACCCAGGAATCGAGTCAGTGCAAAAGGACAGTTTAGACTCCTAAGATTTCATCTCCAACCTGACCAGTCAGCCCTTCACTCACTGGCCCTTTACCCACCAAATTATCCCTAAAAACTCCAGTCCCCAAATTCTTGGGGATATTGATTTGAGTAATAATAAAACTCTGGTCTCCTGTACCACTGGCTCTGTGTGAATTAAACTATTTTATTGCAATTCCCCCATCTTGACAAATTGGCTCAGTCGAATCACTATGCTGCCCAGGTTGGACTGGAACTCCTGGACTGAAGCAATCCTCCTGCCTCAGCCTCCCAACCTGGGGGGATTACAGGCGTGAGCACTGCACTCAGCCAAGTCTGTCCTTAATCAGGGTTTTTTGGGTCTCATTCTCCTAAGCTGTAAAAGCCACTGGACCAGGTGATATTTTCAACCCCTTTAGGCTGCTGTAACTGTAATTTCAGCTCCTGGATCTGCTTCCAATTAGTTACATTCCCCATCACTTTGAACAAGTCATCCCAACTCCCTGGCTTGTTACTGTGACTTGATTATGGCCCAGAAGCCCGAGTTCTAAAGTGCTGATTCTGATGAGTGCCCATTTACCAGGCATTCTGATCCCATCATAGCATCTACTACAGCCTGGGAGTCTCTTCAGGTGTGCATTCTTGTTAAGCACTAACGCCAATCAAATCACTTAAATAACATAGGTAATAATCCAACAGCACAGCTGGGTGAGATGTCTTACACCTGTAATCCCCGCACTTTGGGAGGCCGAGGCAGGTGGATTACCTGAGGCCAGGAGTTCAAGACCAGCCTGGTCAATGTGGTGGAACCCTGTCTCTTCTAAAAAATACAAAATTAGCTGGCCATAGTGGTGCATGCCTGTAATTCCAGCTACTCAGGAGGCTGAGGCAAGAGAATCGCTTGAACCCAGGAGGCAGAGGTTGCAGTGAGCTGAGGCCATGCCATTGCACTCCAGCCCGGGCAACAAGAGTTAAACTCTGTCTCAGAAAAAGAAAGAAAAAAAGAAAAAGAATCCAACAGCACATCCAAACAAAGTGGAAGTTGTAAAAGAAAATTACACCATGTGGAAGATGTGTGTGTGTGTGTGTGTGTGTGTGTGTTTTAGAGATGAGGTCTCTCTGTCACCTAGGCGGAAGTGCAATGGTGCCATCATAGCTCACTGTGGCCTCCAATTCCTGGCCTCAAGCAATCCTCCTGCCTTGGCCTCCCAAGTAGCTGAGACAAGAGACCTGTGTCACCACACGCTGGTTTTTTTTTGTTGTTGTTGTTGTTGTTTGTTTATTTTGCTCTGTCACCCAGGTTGGAGTGTAGTGGGGCGATCTCGGCTCACTGCAACCTCCACCTCCTAGGTTCAAGCGATTCTCCTGCCTCAGCCTCCTGAGTAGCTGGGATTACAGGCACACGCCACCACGATGGGCTAATTTTTGTAATTTTAGTAGAGATTGGGTTTCACCATGTTGGCCAGGCTGGTCTTGAACTCTTGACCTCAGGTGATCCGCCCACCTCGGCCTCCCACAGTGCTGGGATTGCAGGTGTGAGCCACCATGCCCGGCTCACACCCTTTTTAAGGAAGGAAATAGGGTTGAAAATGAAAATCTATACACGAAGGCTGAACCAAGGCAACGGGAAGGTGTTGGCTGAATGTTAAGTTGAGTGGCTGTCTAAAGTAGATCAAAACCCTTCTGACCCTTTGTCTTAGAGCATTAAAGAAAATTACTCTGGGCAAACAACAGCTTCTTTGAATACTTTCACTTGTTTAACAAAACGCCAGAGAATCACAGGTATAACCTATAGTTCGTTAGGGACCACAAGATCAGTGCACCTGCAGAAATGGCATCAGATGGATTTCCTCGGGAGAGGGGGATTGGGAAATAGCTTTTTTTTGAGTCTTGCTCTGTCGCCCAGGCTGGAGTGCAGTGGCACAACCTCTCGGGTTCAAGCGATTCTCCTGCCTTAGCTTCCGAGTAGTTGGGATTACAGGTACGCCACCACGCCTGGCTAGTTTTTGTATTTTTAGTAGAGATGGGGTTTCGCCATGTAGGCCAGGCTGGTCTGGAACTCCTGACCTTAAGTGATCTGCCCGCCTCGGCCTCCCAAAGTGCTGGGATTGCAGGTGTGAGTCATCGCGCCCGGCGAATTCCTGTATTTTCATACTCAATTGGATTTTGTATTAGGGCCTTGAATCCCGAGTATAATTTTGTACTCAAATATAATTTATAAATAAGGTCTTAGCCGCCCAACAAGGTCAAACTAACTAAAAAATTAGTCCTCTCAAGCACTGACATTCCCAGCCGCAGCCCTGCGGGCTAACTAGGGTCCGGTCTCACGGAGGGTCTCGGGGAGCCCGGAGGCGGGACCGTTCCCGGAACCGCAGGCCCTGCCCTCCGGCTTCACTCCGGCCAGCGGCAGCGCCACGCCGGCCGGCGGGCTGGGCTGGGCGCGCAGCGGCCCCGCGCCCACTTCCGCTTCCCGTGCGGGGGGCGGCGGCAGGGCCGGTGGGCGGCGGCGGCGGCTCCGGGTCCCGGCCCGGGCGCGGCCCTGCGCAGCCCGCCCCCCCGGCCGCAGGGGCGCTCCTGAGCTTGGCGGGGCGGCCGCCGGGGCTGCCTGCGCGGGGGGCGGGGCGGAGGGCCGGCCGCGGCCGACGTGGGTGTTAAGTGGCCCCCCGGGCCGGCGACCTGGAGCCGAGAGCTGGCGGCGGAACCTGAGCGGGACGCGGCCACGCCGGCACGAAGGTGAGCGCAGCCCGGCCCGGCGCCTGCAGCTGCGGGGAGCGCGCGGGGCGGAGGGAGCGGGGCTCCGGGCGGGCCGCGGCGTCCGGGCGGCGTGACCTTCCCTGGCGGCTGGGGAAGCGGCCAGCGCCGCCGCGCACGTGCCCCTGCACCCCCTCCCTGTCCCGGGGTGCCCCGCCGGGGTCGCCGGAGGATCTCGGCGTCGTGGGCCTTCTTCCCGCAGTGTCCCCACCTGGTGGGAACTTTGGTCCGCCTTTGCCCCCAGGTCGTGTCGTTTGGCTGCCGGGGCGCCGGCGCTAGGCAGCACGGAGCGGCTTCTGAATGGAGACTCGCGGGCTGTCCGAGAGTGGGCGGCTGGGCCGGGGCGGAGAGCGTTCAGCGCCGGGCAGAGAAAGTTGGAAGTCGTCTTTTTAACCTGTCCTTGCTTGGCCCGGGAGGAGACGCGCCTAGCCGGGTCCTTGGCGGCAAAACTGGTTTGCATCCCGGCGCATTACAGCCCGGGCTCTGGGGACTGGATGGCGAGCTGGCAGGCGCCTGCTACCGCCCAGCTTTAGCCAGAAGCTGGGATCTTCCCGCAGCAGTTTGTGTTCCCTGGTGGAAAATGCAGCCTCATCTACTGACTCAGCTCCAAAAAAGTTAATTTCCCCAAGGATCGAGAAGGATGGGTGGTCGGCACTCTTGTTCCTCAGTCGCACCGTGGTGTAATTTGAGAGAGGGGTCAAAGGCACTGAAAAGATTCTTTTTTCTATTCCAAGTGCTACAGCAAGCTCATAAATTAATTCATGCCGAACAGTCTTGCCTCCTCCAAGCCCTATGTCTTCTCCGAGCCAGAGCTACACACAATGTGAATTAGTTGCCTACTCCTTCTGAGCGAATCTGTTAGTACCCATCGTCGTTTTCTATCCTAATAATTCTACTAGTGGCTATTTGTAGAATTAATTAATTATTTTTTGAGACAGAGCTTCGCTCTGGTTGCCCAGGCTGGAGTGCAATGGCGCCATCTCGGCTCACCGCAGCCTCCACCTCCTGGGTTCAAGCGATACTCCTGTCTCAGCATCTTGAGTAGCTGGGATTACAGGCATGCACTATCACGCCTGGCTAATTTTGTATTTTTGGTAGAAAGTTTCTCAATGTTGGTCAGGCAGGTCTTGAACTCCCAACCTCTGGTGATATGCCCACCTCGGTCTCTCAAAGTGCTGGGATTACAGGTGTGAGCTACCATGCACGGCCTATTTGTAGAATTTAATGTGCTTAAGTTTGGCTCACCTAAGGGGGTTGAATTCACATGGACAGATGGAGTGCAATGTGATGTGAATTTCCTTCAAAGTGAAGAAGGAAGTGTCTGTGCCAAAAGAAATAAGCGCATTGAGGTTTATCTGGGAGACCTCACTGGACTTGCCCATCTGTCGTCTTAGTTGCCTCCTTTTTTTTCTTCCCCTAAAATGCAGGGTTGGGTGTTTTATGTTGCTTCTGGCCAGGTTGAAATAGTCAGATTAAGTGTTGGTTAGGAGGCACAGACCTGAAAGGACAGGACTTTGAACTGAATCATCTGTCACTGACTAGCTGTGTGGCCTTGGGTAAGACCTTGTTTCAGTCCAGGCCCCTTGCCTTCTGGAAAGGGATTAGGACCCTGATAAACTTTTTTAGGAAGACACCAGATGGCCATGACCTTTTCAGCCTAGTAAATGGCCCTGTCTCTCCAAATCTATCAACAGCATATAAATCGGTGTCTTGCACTTCTAACTTAGTTGTTTTATTAAGTACTGTGCCTTTGTTGCCACTGGCCTTAAGTTTTTTGTAAATAAAGGAAGATACTGAAGTCTGATCATTGGCAAAATGCTTCAAGAAGTTGAAAAAACTTCTCCGTGGACAATGTCTTCTGTTGACAGTCAGGATGACATTGGTGTTAGGAAGGTACTAGGTACTTGGTGTTCATCTCTCATCCAGCACAACGGGTCACTGGGCTCCTCAGTGTGATGAAGAATAATTATTCCTTATTATTCACAAATAAGTGACACCTTTTGAAAATTATACAGATTAGTTGTTGAGTTGGACATTTTAGTCAACATTTATTAAGCCCCTGCCTCAGCAGTAGTTGACTTTTGTCAAAAGGGAGAGAAAGAAATTCTAGTTTTCCCCACATCCAAGGCTCCGACCGAAACATACTGAATCAAGATTTCCAGAAGAAAGTCCTGGCAGTTTGGATATTTAAGAAGTGCTCTAGGTTATCAAGCAATTTGGACTCAATGGCTCAGGTGTTGTATCTCTAAGTGTGAGTTTGTGGACTGGCAGTTGCCACCTCACTTGGGAGCTCATCAAGACGGGCAGAATCTCTGGTCCCATCCAAGGCTGTTGAATTAGAAGCTGCATTTTATTTAGCAAGGCTCCCAGGCAACTGTCAGGCACATTTACAGTTGAAGGGCTGGTGGAGTATGGTGATAGGAACATGTTTGGTGCTCTCTGTAGGGCCTTGTTCTAAGAACACCTGATGCTATGCACAGTGGCGCATCCCACTGGTCCCCTGTGGCTTTTTGTGACATATTTGATAATGTTTTTATTATTCACTTTGTACAGATGAGGACTCCCAGCTGTAGAGGCCAAAGGGGCCACGCTACAGGTAGAGCAGGCATTCACCAAGGCGTGTGTCATCCCGGGTGAAGCTCCCATCCTTGGCTGCCTGAGCACTCCTTTCCAGTCCTAATGTCTTGTGACATCCCCTGAGGCACCCAGCACAGGCTGCTGTCTGAACTTAGAACTGAGCCTGTTCAATTGATGGCTTAATGTAGGCCTCTTAAAATACAAGTCTGATGTGGTTTGGTACATCCGTGATTGGTTTAGTTATTTGGTGTTCATTTTTTCAGTCTTCAGAAAGGTTGGTTGAAGTGCTGCGGGTGGCTGTTGCATTGATACGCAGGGAAGCTTTTTGATCTGTGAGCTTTCTAGAGGGCAATTGCTAAGCTGCACTGATACCCTGTGCCCCTTTCCTTTGGAACAATGTAGAGCCCAGTTCATGGCTCCCAGAAGTTTAGGTTCAGTAATTTGGCTGCAGTCCTAGAGAACAGGAAGCCGCAGACTTGGACTAATGGTGAACTCTTGTCTTCTCCCAGGGATATGTGGTGCCTGTCATAAGCTCTAGAGAGCTGCCTTCCACGGAAACCAGCAGAAGAGTGGGCAAACATGAAGTCCAATCCTGCTATCCAGGCTGCCATTGACCTCACAGCGGGGGCTGCAGGTACAGTCATGTGCCACCTAACCATGTTTCTGTCAGTGATGGACGGCATATCTGACGGTGGTCCCATGAGATGATACCAGTATATTTTTACTGTACCTTTTCCGTGTTTAGAAACTTTTAGATATACAAATGCCATTGTGCTACAGTTGCTTACAGTATCCAGTACAGTAACATGCTGTGCAGGTGTATAGCCTAGAAGCGGCAGGCCACACCGTTCAGCCTAGGTGTGGAGTAGGCTATGCCATCTAGGGTCGGTGTGTATGGTCTGTGATAGCACAATGACAAAATTGTGCAATGACACAGTTTTCAGAACATGTCCCGATCATTAAGCAACGGCTAACTATAATCCCAGAGAAAACCCCGTCTTCTCCATTCCTCAGGCACCTTCTAAATGAGATCAAATGAAAGTGGTATGAAAATATTACCTTTCTCCCTCCAGAAGCGATGTGCTTTACTTTGGGATGAATGCATTTGATGGAAGTGTAGTATTGTTCAGAGCGTGGCAGAAGGTGGAGGAGTGTCCATTATTGTAAATACCTTCTGAGTCAGGGTGAGGGGTGGAATGTGCCACTACAGCTGGAAAACACCCCTTGTCCACTGTCACCTGGCTGGGATATGCAGGTGGCATGGTTCTTCACTTCAAGCCTGGCAGTATTCAGAGCCCTTGTAGTGCAAAAATAACACTGTAGCGTCTCCTGGAAACATCACTTACTGTCACTGCTAGTGTTGGGAAAGAAAGGACACTCTTTAGAAACGTCTTTAAAAATGAGACTGATAATGGACTGTGTCTTAGAGCCATGAAAGGAGAGGAGAAGTTGTAGGATTTGCTGGGAATGTCAGCTAACCTGAGCCTAGGGGCCTGAGCCCAAGGGCAGGCTGAGGCTCCCCTGGCACAGGGAGGTGCTGCCTGTGACAAGGGGGTAGTGCTGGCACTGTGCAGGCTACTCCTTCGATCAGCTTAAGGCTGGGTGCAGTGGCTCACACCTGTAATCCCTGCACTTTGGGAGGCCGAGGTGGGTGGATCATGAGGTCAAGAGTTCAAGACCAGCCTGGTCAAGATGGTGAAACTCCACTTCTACTAAAAATGCAAAAATTAGTTGGGCGCGGTGGCAGGTGTCTGTAATCCCAGCTACTTGGGAGGCGGAGGCAGGAGAATCACTTGAACTCACTTGACAGATTGCAGTGAGCCGAGATTACACCACTGCACTGCAGCCTGGGCAACAGAGTCAGACTCTGTCTCAAAAAAAAAAAAAAAATTCGAAAAAAAAGATCAGCTTGAACATGCAGGAAGAGCAAGACCCTCAGGCTGAGGCGTGTGGTGGAATGGGAAGTGCATGGTGGTAATTTAGTTCTCCAGAGTCCAGAAGCAGGAAGAGTGGCTGGAATGCTGATTGCCCAGAGGGAAACCCTGGACTACCCTGGCCTCCTAGATCTCATAGTAGTTGCAGTTCCCTGGACTGGGGAGGCAAGAGGAGTCATTGCCCAGTGCTCTCATTATCCAGCACAGCTCTCCACCGACCACCAGCAGATGCGTATGGTCATGAGTGTAGTCACCTAATCAGTCATTTGCTCAATTGTGAAAAAGAAATTGTTCGGAGAAGTGCCAAGTGTTTTTCCATGAGCCAAAGGTCAGCCAAGGTATGCTAATGAGGAGGACTGGAGAGAACGCATCGTAGTCGCTGATAAGGAGCCCTGGGCAAGAGCACTTCTCCCAGGGCAGACCCCAGACACTCAGGGAACTGAAGGCTGGCAGGGGTCCGCCCAGTAGTCTCTTGTCCACTGCATGCCTTTAGGCTACAGCGTCCCAGGCCGCCCCCACCCCACCCCCCTACCCCCGCCTCCCGCCACACCAGACTGGGGAGGACGCTGACCCTCAGAATGGTGCAACCATCTGCCTGCCCTTGGCTGCTTCTCACCAGCACATGAATGCTCTTTGAGCTCAGTTCTATCTCTGCGGTAGGAGGGTGTTTAGCCACATGAGAGAGTCTCACTTTTTGACATTTTATGTCTTTTAGTCAGTCTGTTGAAGATCTAGAACCTATTGTGATAGAACTAAAAATTTTACCTTTGGCTGGGCAATGGTGGCTCATGCCTATAATCTCAACACTTTGGGAGGCTGACGCAGGTGGATCCCTTGAGGTCAGGAGTTCAAAACCAGCCTGGCCAACATGGTGAAACCCCGTCTCTACTAAAAATACAAAAATTAGCTAGGTATGGTGGCAGATGCCTGTAACCCCAGCTACTCTGGAGTCTGAGGCAGAAGAATTGCATGAACTCAGAAGGCAGAGGTTGAAGTGAGCCAGGATTGCACCACTGCATTCTGGCCTGGGTAACAGAGCAAGAATCCACCAGGGAAAAACAAAAAAGTTTCTCTTTTCCTATTTATGTGCATACTGGTATTTGGTACCACATTTAGAATTTACACTTAGTTTGAAAGACAGAAATTGCAACAGTATGGCTGTGGGCCTGGTATTTGCTGGTGGGCATGTTTTGAACATGTATTGGGCCCTTATATGTACTGACACTTACTGTCCCCATCACTGTTGGACTGGTGTTTCTCCCTGTGCTGGCAGCAACACAGGGACGCCCCTCACTGAGATAGAGCTGCTATGGGTAGTACAACCTCTGAAGACAACAAAGGCCATTCCTGGGCGGGTATGTTGGGGAGGGGGAGCAAGACGCGATCTATAGGTTGGGGCTGGGGAGAGGGGGTGCCTATTAGTGACAGACACCAAAACCTCTGTTCTACTGTGAGCCTCACAGAATGCAAATGAAAGTAGATTCCCACTTTTGAGGATCTTGGAGTCTTTGAATGCTGGAGCTAGAGAGGGCTTTAGATGTCGATGGCTCGAATGTTCATTGAATACGTAGAAAAAGGCCCAGAGAGGGGCAGTAGATTTGTTCAAGGTTCCACAGCAAGATGGTGTGAAGACAGGGCAGGACCGTGGTCCCTGGGTCCCTTGTCTGGTGTTGTTTCTGTCTCTGCTTTAATACTCCGTACTGTGTCTACAGCGCTCTGGTGGTGAGGGTTGGTTTGCAGACTCTGCCGCCCTGGCTCTCTGGATGTGGAACTTGCTGGACTTTGGGATTTTTCTGTCAGCTATTGATAGGAGCAGAGGACCTGTAGTGTTTTGCGGCAGAGGCCACCCACAGAAGTGATCTGACTCTAAGCACAGAGCCAGCTGCCGCCCGAGGTGATGTCGATGGAGTCTGTGTTGTTCTGTGTGTCTCTTTTTTTTTTTTAAACAAAGTTCCCCCCACCACATAGGTTTTCAGCCAGGTCGTCTACTCTAAAGTGCTGGGAAGTTCTCAGGGATCCCTATCTGCAGTGGTTGTAAGAGATCTAGAGCCCTAGACAGCCAGGATGAAGGAGGATTTGAAGAACTTAGTTAGGTAATTAGATAATTATTGAAATGGGGATGCGTGGATTCCAAAAGTTAGATAGTCTTAAAGAGGAACTTGGTACCACCTTAAGAGTTAGTCATTCCACAACTCTAAAGTGATGCAGTCACTACTTTGACTACTGTTGCAGTGTACCTTGTTTAGCATAGTTGAAGAATGTGGCATTTCAGATCATTGAAGTTTATCCCCTCAAATGCCAAAATTAAAAACAACCCCAAACCTTTTTTGCTTGCAGTTTCTTGAAAACGATGTGCTTCCCTTCCCTGTTAAACTGAACCTTTATGGATGGCCTCCAGAGGGGTGTGAGGACTTCACCTCTGCCTAGGTGGGCCAGTTCTGTGGTGTGCATCTGCTTTTCTCTTCTCACCTGTCTGGCCTCTTTAGAGCTGTCTCTTCCCTGAGACACTGTCCTTGCCCTGATAGATTTCCTCTATATCTCGTAATTTGCTGACTCTGTCAAGGACTGAAAATCCAAACCACCACCCTTGGTAAAGTGTCAGGTATGACATAGTCTGAGTGCTTCTCCTGCAGAATAAGATGCTTGGCTGGCCACCACTCCACCTAAAGAGTGTTTTTACTTGTCTTTTAAGGAGAATAAGATTGGAAGTCTGACTTCTAGGCAAGTGGAGAAATATTATCTCTGTCATTTATTCATGGCTTTATGGACTTGATAGATCCTGGGTGTCAGGCTCCATGGTTGATACTGGTGTTCAGAACAGTCTTCTCTCACTTGAGGGCACAGCGAGTGCCACGACCATGTCGTTTGTGGTAAAATTACATGGGAAGTTAGCTTAAGTTAGCTTACCCCGTAACATTTGGTATATTCATTAGCCTCCTGCCTTCTCCCTGTTGGAATTATAACTGTCCCAGATAGACAGCAAATGTGTATCGTAGTAACCTGTGATGCCTGAACTGTTCGGGATCATCCAGTTAAAATATTAATGTGCTGAATTAAATGCTTTATTCAGCTTATCTGCATCTAGGTTATCTAAATGACATACCCACTTAAAACATTCTGTCACTTCTCTTGAAATAATTAAATTATTTTAATGTAATTCAGATCTCATTTTATCCTAGCCCAGCAGCACCTGGAAGAGAATGACTCTGAATTAATCATAGTAAAATTATATTAAATTATATTTCACTAACTTAGAATTGGGGATCATTTCGCAGTTAAAGGCAGAAGTGTGTCATTCCTCTCCTGGAAGAACAGTAATGATGGGATCACGGAGATCATATTGCTTGTTGCTTAAAAACGAATCAAGCAGTTTTCAGAATCTTTGGAAGTATTGGCTTGTTTGCAAATAAATAATTGAGAATTATTCTTAATGTCCCTTCCCCAACTCCACTTTCCAGAGTTTAGATGGAATAACTATGTATAATGTCAAAGTCAGGAAGTTGATTTCTGAAATATTTTCTGTAAGCCTTCTTTTGCATTTTGATGAAGCGTTAAGAGCTCCTCTCCGGTTCAGGGGGAGATGGTAAGCACTAACCACTGGCACTTTCCACGATGCTGACCCTACTGCAGGGTCTGGGGATATTGTAGGGTGGTTACAGTTCATTCCTTTTCTTCCCTTTAGAATTTTTATTGAAATGATTTCATGTGGCTGGCCATGGTGTCTCATGCCTGTAAACCCAGCATTTTGGGAGGCCGAGGCAGGAGGATCATTTGAGGTTAGGAGTTGAAGACCAGCCTGGCCAACATGGTGAAACCCCATCTCTGTGAAAAGTATAAAAATTAGCCAGGTGTGGTGGTGGGTGCCTATAATTCCAGCTACTTGGGAAGCTAAGTCACAGGAATTGCTTGAACCTGGGAGGCTGAGGTTGCAGTGAGCTGAGATTGCACCACTGTACTCCAGCCTGGGCAACAGAGTGAGACTCCATCTCAAAAAAAAAAAAAGAAAAAGAAATGGTTTCGTGCAATGTAGACTTTGCTGTATTTAATATTCATTCTCTCTCTCTCTCTCTCTCTCTCTCTGTCTGCGCCTGGCCTTAATATTCTTATAAAAGTATATAAATAAAGGATTTAAACTAAATAAATTTGAGTCCATTCTCTATCTAAATACATGTTATTAATTGGTAGAGTTCAAATGAAAGAGATTTTTCTATGGAGTGAAATATTTCGCTCTTCGGGGATTAAATAGCCAGACTCCTTGTTTCCTTTCCATGGCGCCGGGTCTGATCAGTCCCACTGGGCATTAGGCAAAGTGAGTGATGAAGACTTCCCAGGTTTCCCCTCCCTTTCTGTGGCTTCCATCTCTTGCGCACACAGTAGCTGTTGGTTATTAACCACTTATGTAGCTGGCGCTGTGCTAAGCCTGTCTTCTCCATTTTTATTTAATCCTCGTGCTAACCCTGTGAGGTGGCATGGATGAGGAACTGAGGCCAGAAGTTACACGGCTTGTCAGGATCTCGCAGCAAAGCCGTAGTTCCTCTGACCCTCTTGCCCAGGCTCCTGCATGCTTACTGCACTGTTGCATCCCAGGCCTGCCTCTCTCCCCTGCCTGGCAGGAGCTCCTTCAGGGTGGGATTTAGGTGCCGGGCACATTAAGGACCTGCTATACATTGTTTACTGGACATGGCTGGAAGGTTTTAGAGGAAAAGAGGTTGAAAAGAAGTGAAGCAGAGGTAAGTTTTGGGGTAGGCTGCCTGTGCCTTCTTTCCATGGATAATAGAATCAGAGCCTCATATTAGAGCAGTCTTCTGTCCTGATTCCAGGGGGCACAGCATGTGTACTGACTGGGCAGCCCTTCGACACAATGAAAGTAAAGATGCAGACGTTCCCTGAGCTGTACCGAGGCCTCACCGACTGCTGCCTGAAGACTTATTCGCAGGTGGGCTTCCGCGGCTTCTACAAGGGGACCAGCCCAGCACTCATCGCCAACATCGCTGAGAACTCCGTCCTCTTCATGTGCTACGGCTTCTGCCAGCAGGTGGTACGGAAGGTGGCTGGATTGGACAAGCAGGCAAAGCTGAGGTGAATCAAGGACAGACACTTTTTTTGTTTGTTTTTTAAAAAACACAAAACTGGCTAGGCATGGTGGCTCATGCTTGTAATCCCAGCACCTTGGGAGGCAAAGGCAAGAGAATGGCTTGAGGCTGGGAGTTCAAAACCAGCGTGGGCAACATAGCAAGATCCCTATCTCTATAAAAATTAGAAATTAAAATCAGGCCAGGCACGGTGGCTCACGCCTGTAATCTTAGCACTTGGGAGGCTGAGGCGGGTGGATTGCCTGAGCTCAGGAGTTTGAGACCAGCCTGGGGAAAACAGTGAAACCCCATCTCTACTAAAAATACAAAAAAATTAGCCAGGCATGGAGGCATGTGCCTGTAATCCCAGCTACTTAGGAGACGGAGACAGGACAATCGCTTGAACCGGGGAGGCGGAGGTTGCAATGAGCCGAGATCCTGCCATTGTACTCCAGCCTGGGAAACAGAGCAAGACACTGTCTCAAAAAAATAATAATAATAATAACCAAAAAAAAATTTTTTTAATCTTTTGTATGGTGACAATTTTACTGATGCCTTATGTGGAGGAACATTTCCTTTTTTAGTTTTTTTTCTTTTTTTGTTGTTTTTTAATTTTTTATTTTTTTAACGTTCTCAGAACATTTCCTTTTTAAAAATATAACTGCTTTCCTTTTATTTATGAAGTTACACATTGCCATCATATAAAACTTGGAAACCACACATGCACTCCACGAAGGAGACCTGCTCGTAATCCAGCACTGAGAACGAACTGCCCTTCTGTTTCCATTTTCTTCAGGAGAATGCCGTTCAAATGCTGCTGGCGGTGCTACCTCTAGTCAGCAAGCATGCTGCACTAAAACCATAGATGCTGCTTGTGATCCACATTTTAGGTTTTCTTTCATTAGCAAAATGCGGAGAGCATTGGAAGAGGTTGTCTGAGCCAGACAGATTTGAGGAGTTTTAGGAAGGGTTGGAAATGTCTGAGTAGACGCCAGGGAATCCACTTTTCTCTGTCCAGATCTCCCAAAAACGTGAGACTTTGGTTCGTGCTTGGTCTTGCCTTGGGTGTTTATTATATAGAGACTGAAGAGAATTTGGAAACCACTGGAATGCTTAGCTCTCCCTCCTTTGAACATTGATTTATTTTAAATCACGTAAAATTATGACATAAGTTTCAAGGTTGCAAAGGACAGTCTCAGTTATTTCAGTAGGAGTTCGAAACCCGATTGCAGCTGCAGGACCCAAGCAACTGAATTCGGTTCCTTGTGTGCAGCAGTGTTCTCTGGAGGTGCCTGGAGGTCTGAGGGTGTAGCCTTTTATAAGCAGGAATTCCACCATGATGGGTAGAGCTTGTTTTTTTTTAAAGGCTTGGGACTGGATATGATTGCCCACAAAGACAGTGTAGATAGCGAGGAGGGCTGAGCGTGGATGGGATGACCCTCCAGCACAGAAAGGGTAGGCAGGAAGGCAGTAAAGAAATGAGCAGGGCACAAACCTGGAGAGTGTGGCATGTCATGATGGAGACTGAACAGAAGCAAAACCACAGGTGACTGTAGTTTTTTCCTTGTTGAAGAAGAGATACTCTATTAGAGAAGGCCTGGACTTGAGTTCAGTTTTCTTGCAAAGGACAAAATGGGGAGAGAAGACAGGGAAGCAGTGAGCAGCCACGTGAGATTCTGGAGAAGACCTCTGTCCTCTGAGCAAAGCAGCCTCTCCCCCCACAGGATAGACAGTGACTTCTGTCTTGCATGAGTGAAACCACTGGGGATCTGGCCCTGCCTGCCCCTCCACTTTCTTGTTTCCTTATCCTGTGAACAAAGTGAAGGACAGGTAAGAGCATACTGTTTTTCTGCTGAGAACAATCTAATACCTTATAGCTGCATTTCCCCACACTGCTTTCAGAACACTGAATTGCTACGGTCCTTAAGAAAGGGTTGGGAAATACGTCACAGTGTCTCTCTCATGAAGAATCACTCTGGGTACATTTATTTCATGTAATGTATGTGTTATTTAGTTCATTAACGATGCCTAAGACTGGGCACAGTGGCTCACGCCTGTAGTGTCAGCACTTTTGAGAGACTGAGGTGAGCAGATTACTTGAGCCCAGGAGTTTGAGACCAACCTGGGCAACATGGCAAAAGCCCATCTCTACAAAAACTACAAAACTTACCTGAGCGTGGTAGCACATGTCTGTGGTCCCAGCTACTGGGGAGGCTAAGATGGGAGGATTGCCTGAGCTTAGGAGGTGGAGGTTGCAATGAGATGATGCCATTGCACTCTAGCCTGGGCAACAGAGGAAGACTCTGTCTCTTAAAGAAAAAAGATACTTGGATGTTTTGCAGTAAAGAAACCATCCTGATTAACCTTATCTAATCCAGCACTCATGTTTTTTGAGCTTGGGGCCTTTTTTTTTTTTTTTTTTTTTCCATCCTGAGGAAGTGTTTGCCTCTTACCTGTTGGGGAAATGCTCCCTTAGAGTCTACAAAGCTCTGACGTGTATATTGTGTCTCCATAGCCCTCACCGTGATCCTGTGAGAGCAGCAAGGCAGATGTTACCTCTCTCTTATGGATGGAGGAACTGAGGTGCTGCTATTGACATGCTCATAGTCACCCCGCTAAGGACTTGAACTCATGTCCTCCGAGCCCCTGCCCAGTCTCCTTTCCATCAGACCCGAGTTGGGGGTCTGGAATATTTTGTAAGGGTCAGTTTTAGAGAGAAAATGAATTGGGGGCAGTGAAAGGAAAGAGCTGCTTGTGAGAGCCTGTGGTGAATTTCTGCAATCGCATTGTAAATATTTGTCTGTTCCCGGTTTCAACATGTCCCAAAGTGTTGTTCTACTTAGATGTTTGGCTGGACAGGGTCTTACACAGCAGGATTGCTCAGGTACATGTTTGTTGAATAGATGACGAACGGTTAATTCTTAGAAAAAAAATCCCGTCCTATACCTATAACCATTGCAATTCCAGTTCTACACATTTATACTACATACAGAACCAGGGGCCCATGCACCTCATTCTGTGTACCAGTTGATGAAAGTATTCATTAGAAAGCCAAAGTCCACTGCATATCTGATTTGGCCATGTCCTTGCACTATAATAATGTGCTTGGTGTTTGTTCAGATGTCTAAGCATTATTATATCTTAAACTCAATAGACTTCTACATTTATTGACTGCCACCTTTGTCCTGGAAAACCTGGCAGACCCTGATTAATACCCTTAATAGACTATTGCCTGTCAGCAGGTTAACAGAGTGTCCCTGAGGGAGGCCAACTGTGGATCTGAGGCTGGCTGAAAGACAGCAGAAACCATTTTAAGCTTTGGTTCTAACAGGCTGCTAAGGAGTGAAGTGGGGGAAAGGAGTGGTCTGGACGGCACTGGATGGTTTCTACACCCCATAGGAGTGTGTGCAAGTACATTTGTGTACCTGGTTCTTTCTTAATGGTTTTAGTCTTTTTTTTTTTTTTTTTTTTTTTTTTGAGACGGAGTTTCACTCTTGTTACCCAGGCTGGAGTGCAATGGCGCGATCTCGGCTCACCACAACCTCCACCTCCTGGGTTCAGGCAATTCTCCTGCCTCAGCCTCCTGAGTAGCTGCGATTATAGGCACGCGCCACCATGCCCAGCTAATTTTTTGTATTTTTAGTAGAGACGGGGTTTCACCATGTTGACCAGGTTGGTCTCGATCTCTCGACCTTGTGATCCACCCACCTCGGCCTCCCAAGGTGCTGGGATTACAGTCTTGAGCCACTGCGCCCGGCCAATGGTTTTAGTCTTAGTTCTCTAACATCAATAGGAAGTCCATACTGCAAGCAATGCCTTCATCCTGAAAGAAACCCCCACTCCAAGCCAAGTCTTCTGAAAGACTTGGGTGTATCTGAGGCCAGCTTAGCTTCTGGGAACCCCCGCCTTGCAGTTGGCCATGGCACAGCAGCTGGACCACCAGGGACTAGCAGACCAGGGCCAAGACTGGGGACTACCTTGATTTTATACTAATCTGTAACACTGGTAAAACTTTAGTACTCCTGAATATGGTAGCACTGTCTATACTTTTGCTCACAGTTTAGAGAAAAATTGTTAGGGGATTATATCTCTACCTAGGTAGTTAGCCGAGGAGATTCCCACCTACCCTTGGAGGTTTTTGGAACCCTGTGAGAGTGATCTTGGCTGTTGAGTGAGAGCACGATGCTGGCATTGAATGGGTGTCAGGGAGCCAATTCAGTCCTTCCTGCCCAATGAAGGATTGTCCCAGCCCAAATGCCAGTCATGATCCTGTGACACAAAACTCTTCTGGGGCTGGAAGGGATCTTTCTTGACTCCCATGAACCATGAACTCCCAGAGAAGTCTTTCTTCTGAAAAGCTTCTCAGACCTTTCCCCATATTCTTTATTGTTTTTTCTGAAGTAGTCTCACTGTGTCACCCAGGAGTGTAGTAGCACCATCTCAGCTCACTGCAACCTCCGCCTCCCCGGTTCAGGTACTACTTGTGCCTCAGCCACCTGAGTAACTGGGATTACAGGCATGCACCACCAAAAATACGCTAACTTTGTATTTTTACTGGAGATAGGGTTTTGCCATGTTGGCCAGGCCTCAAGTGTTCTGCTCGCCTCGGCCTCCCAAAATGCTGGGATTACAGATATGAGCCATCATGCCTGGCCTCCCCATATTCCTGAACTCTTACTGGATTCCAGTTTCACAGCCCTGCTGGTGACCTTTGGCTGCTGGTACTAAATCCATATGTGAGGTGAATGCTTCTATTTTTGTATTTGTGTGCATTTATCCCTCTGCCTAGTGTAGATTTCCAGTTTAGCCATTTCACCTAATACCGTCGAGCTTGCAGACTTGTACCAGCTTCACCCAGTCCTGTGGCACCATTTTACCCTCTTCTGTGCTGCAGAGGTGGTGGGTCATCAGCTGAACTGGAAAATCTTTTTGTGATGCAGCAACTTTTGGTTAAAAGCTTACTCTGGGTTTTCATCTGTGACAGTTATATTGCACATCTGGTTGCTCCAGGTTGGACTGTGGGCACGTAGGGATGGCCTTAGGACCTAGTTTTATTTAAAACTTAGAGCAAATGCACTGAAGTATTAATAGTGCATGTTTTTCAATGGGGGGCTATGGGTAATACTTTCCTCCTTTCCTTTAGGTTTTTTTGTGGAGTTTTATTTTGTCATGTCACGATATATCTTGGCTTTGGCTGCTGTAAGAGAATACTACAGACAGTGGCTTAAACAAACCCTTCTCACAGTTCTAGGGCCTGAAAAGTCTAAGATCAGGGTTCCAGCAAATCTGCTGTCTGGTGAGGGCTTGTTCTTTTTTTTTTTTTTTTTTTTTTTTTGAGGCGGAGTTTTGCTCTTGTTACCCAGGCTGGAGTACAATGGTGCGATCTCGGCTCACCGCAACCTCCGCCTCCTGGGTTCAGGCAATTCTCCTGCCTCAGCCTCCTGAGTAGCTGGGATTACAGGCACGTACCACCATGCCCAGCTAATTTTTTGTATTTTTAGTAGAGACTGGGTTTCACCATGTTGACCAGGTTGGTCTTGATCTCTTGACCTCGTCATCCACCCACCTTGGCCTCCCAAAGTGCTGGGATTACAGGCTTGAGCCACCGCGCCCAGCCAAGGGCTTGTTCTTAATTTGAATGTAGCCATCTTCTCACTGTGTCCTCACATGGCAGAGAGTGAGCCAGCTCTCTGGCTGCTTCTTCTAAGGGCACTAATCCCATCACAATGGCCCTACCCATATGACCTCATCTATAACTCATTACTTCCAAAGGCCCCATCTCCTGACACCATCATCTTGGGGGGACAAAAGTCAGTCCATAGCACCATGTGTAATAAGAATATGGATGTTGCAGTCAGGAAGACCTGATTTCACATCCTAGCACTGCCACTTAGTAGCTGTGTGACTGGCCACATTGTGTGTCACCTCTAAGCGTCACTTCCCATAGGGAATTGGGGTACTGCTGTCTGCTTCACAGGGTTGTGGGATCCACAGATAAAATAGCACATGCAAGTTTTCTTCCTTTCATCATTTTTTTTAGACACGGAGGTCTCTCTGTGTTGTCCAAGCTGGAATGCAGTGGCTATTCACAGATAACAATCATAGCACTGCAGTCTAAAACACCTGGGCTCAAGTGATCCTCCCACCTCAGCCTCCTGAGTAGCTGAATTCACAGGTTCATGCCCTAACGCCTGGCTCCTTACCTTGCATTATCACAAAAGGGCCATCCATGTGGTGAGTGCTAAAGGAATGAAGAAACTGAGGGGTAGCTGTCTGCTTGTGTGCTTTCAGTGATCTGCAGAACGCAGCTGCTGGTTCCTTTGCCTCTGCCTTTGCTGCACTGGTGCTCTGCCCCACAGAGCTCGTGAAGTGCAGGCTGCAGACCATGTACGAGATGGAGACATCAGGAAAGATAGCTAAAAGCCAGAAGTAAGTGCCACTTGAGCAAAAACATCAGGTCTCTATTGCCCTAATGTATTGGGTGTTTTTTCATTTTATATTGTGGTAGATGTGGAAGCCGATTTACCTACTCCAAAATACTGTTTATAGAATGCTTTCCCATATCAGTCAGAGATTTTCTGAAAGGATTGTCTGTGACTGGACCCACCACCCATCTCCTAGAACTGGAGAAGCCAGGAGCTTAACACCCTTTTGGCCTCTTGGAAACATAAGGCATGATCTTCAACCATTTTTGGAGGTACATGGTGGGTGGCTTTTGAACTTGGCCTGAGACCTGAGCCTCTGTAAGTGCCAATTTGGATTCTGAGATGAGTATTTGATGCTCACTCCCAGGTTTTACATGGGTATTCAGGCTGATTGCCCCAGATCCTGGAGGTAACTTTCCTTGCCCCGCTTACCCTTAGTCCTTCAAGTGCACCTGCAAAGTTCTGAGAACATTAATCAGTACCTTTATAAGCAGAGCTACTCTTCAATGATTAAATCACTGTCTAGCTCAGTCTTGAAAACAGATTCTCATCCTCTGAGAGTGCTGTGTCATACACAATTTGATTTACTTGAATTGGAAAGTATTATCTTTATTAATTGCAAAACTTGCATATTTATCTTGACATCTGGCTGAGTTCTGAGCAGGGATATTGCTGTGGTTAACTCAAAGCCTATAAATCTGCTGGAAAAAATCAGTAGATAAATTGACCATTTTCAGGGATCAGTCCGCACTCAGTGAGAATGGGATTTGGAAGAGTGCCCTGTTTTCTGCACCCTTGAGATTCATTACAGCCAACTTGAATCTAACATTCATTGCCTACAAGTCCAAGAGTGTAAGTCTTTAAAACTTATTGAAATATACACATAGTATCATGAATGCACATGTAAGTCACAAGTATGCAGTTCTATAAATAGTGACACAATTTATGTGCCTTTGTAACCTGTGTCTAGATTAACAAATAGAGTATTAACGGCACCCAGAAAGCTGCCCTCATGTCCCTTGAAAGTAATTACCTTGGAAGGTAATTCAAAGATAGTAATAGTTGTATCCAAAGGACTTAGGCAGATGGATGCCTTGAATTATCAGTTGACTTTGTATTTGAGGTCTAGCAGTGTTCACACAAGACATAGTATGATAGCTTGGGGCTAAGACTTGGATTGGAAGGGAGGTTAATTGTGTTGAACTGGATTACTTTGTTACATTCCATGTAGCCATGCTACAGAAAGGGCTGGCTAATGGAGAATACCTGACCGCGCCTTCTGAAGCTCTCAGAAGGAAAATAGTTATTAAACATCTGTAGCCTTTATTACCTTGGGACTTGATCCTTCATCTATCTGAGCCAAGTCCCCTGCTGTCTGAGGACAAAGTGGGGAGAGGGGGATTCATTAAGTTGCACAGACTGTGATTTCTTGGCCTCTTCTTAGCAGGGATAAAGCTGCCCCGGGAGCCCCCCAAAGTGTCCTATGTTCCGGCCACTACAGGAGCAGGGCTGTGATCTGCTTAGAATTCTCCTGCATCCCTGCTCCTCTGAGAACTAAATTATTGATGCTTCTGCATGACAGGTGCTATAACTTGTTCTCAGAATTTGTCTTACCTTCAAATAACATTGACTGCTTCATTCATTTCTCTGCACTAAAACAAACCCTATAAATACCTGAACAGATTTCCCAAAAACACATCAGAGATTGAGGAAATAGGAATCACGGTTATAAGGGACCAGGCAATACAATGCCATTTTATGCTTGCTGAGTTCATACAACTCCTTATTATAAATAAATTGTAGTTTTCATTTATCCACTACTGAAAAAATGTGTATTAGCTTTTATATCTTTGATAATCTGACTTGTAGAAACGCTGCCTCTATTTTAATAAAATTTCTTTACCAATAATTTAGGTGACAAAACTTGTTATAATTATGCCTGAGACATGTCGTTCCCACAGAAGATGCCTTTTAGTCTCAATTCCTGGCTCTTCATTTATGAAATCAGCTTCTTCCTTACTAGTGGTTGATCAGATTTGTGAATTGGTTGTTAAATGCCCTTGTCCGTTCTTCCTTCCCACCTGCTATAACTGAGTCTGTCTCTCTGTGTCCCCTCCTAGTACCGTGTGGTCTGTCATCAAGAGTATCCTTAGGAAGGATGGCCCCTTGGGCTTCTACCATGGACTCTCAAGCACTTTACTTCGAGAAGTACCGGGCTATTTTTTCTTCTTCGGTGGCTATGAACTGAGCCGGTCATTTTTTGCATCAGGGAGATCAAAAGATGAACTAGGTAAATGTGTCTGCACGACTGCAGTGGAGTATGATGGCATCTGCTCCCTGAAGGTGTGGTTTCTGTGCACTCTCTGCTCGTTACGCTCTCCTCCCCACATTGGTGGCTCCATCTGGCACAGGGAAGCTTCTGGATGCCAGAAGATAACGTGGTGGCAGGCAGTTGATAGCACCCACCCTCCAGGTTTCATAATTTCCTTCGGACAGGGGTTGTAGCAGTACATCCCAAATTTCCTTACTGCAAGTTTAATTTTTCTGGATCTATTTTATGGGAGAAGTAGTCCAGAAATTACTTTCCCAATTGGGGAATCACCTATAAATAATCCTGAAATAAGCTTAATACTTGACCATCTTAATAGTGTTTTGAGAGCAGTGAAAACCATAGTTCTTTGTAGCTTACCATGTTTAGCTGGTTGGTACAACTACATGCAATGTTGGGATCACATAAGTGAGTGAGTTTTTCTTATCTCCCTCAGTGTGTTGAGTCTGTTCTGGGATTAGTCAAGCTCCCAGACTTAACTGCTGTGTTAATAAAAACAACTTTGGCTTTTAATACTAAAGGAAGAATCAGGGCTATTAAAATACTTAAGAGTGAGAAAGTTGAAAAAAGCCATAGATTGTGTTTGGCCTGTCTTCTCCCTACTGGAAGGGGTTGCCACCCAGCTGGAGGCCTGCTGGTTTCCATGGGCCAGCCCTCAACACCTCAGTGACCAAACTAAATATAATCCTCACTAGGATTTCTTGTACTTGGCAAGACCCAGGGGTAGACCTGGGCTACCAAACAAAACCTTGTATTCTTAGAGCTTGGTAACAAGAGCTTTGACAGTTTCCTCAGAGAATTGTATTCTGCAGCATTAGCATTTTTGTTTTCACCTACCTGCAGCCATTACTACATAGACCTCTGGAAGTGTCACATCAGCTGTTCTTGAGACAAAATACCATTTGCTATTTTTTTTTTCTCTAGGCCCTGTGCCTTTAATGTTAAGTGGTGGAGTTGGTGGGATTTGCCTCTGGCTTGCGGTATACCCAGTGGATTGTATCAAATCCAGAATTCAAGTCCTTTCCATGTCTGGAAGACAGGCAGGATTTATCGGAACCTTTATAAATGTTGTGAAGAACGAAGGTGAGTAAACACCTGTTTTGCCAGCATCTAGTATACATCTTAACATCTCAGATACGAACTTGTTTTGATTGTAAAAAGAGGACAGTAACACAGAAACTTTGTGTCTCAAATAGAGCACAGATACCTTGTCTATTACTCATTGTAATAGACTCCCTTATATTTGTATAACATGTAAAGTTTTACAAAGGACTTACACCTCCCTCATCTAATTCAATCTTCATAACCACCCTGGGCAGTACTAATAGTATAAACAGGTCTCCAACTTCAAGGTTGGTGCTCTTGTCACTGCCCGGATGAAGCTGCAGAGCTGCTGCCACCTCTGTCTGGCCATCTCAGCCTCAACTCTGCCCCATCCATGTACCAAGAGTTAATCAAGCATGGAATTGGTGTGTTACCTGAGCATCAGTCAGTTTTCCCAGGAGACCTGATGCTTGTCCTTGTTAGTCTATTTAGGGAAAGCTGGAAATGTGTCCTTCTATGACATGGGTTTTAGCGCTGTTGTCTGGATTTGCATGTGTAAATACCCTGTGCTGTGCAGCTGCATTGGGATCCCCAAAGGAGGGATTGTTGCAGTCTTTTTGATTGCCCTTTTATCTTCTAGGAATAATGGCCTTATATTCCGGACTAAAGCCTACTATGATTCGCGCATTCCCTGCTAATGGAGCACTCTTTTTGGCCTACGAATATAGCAGGAAGTTAATGATGAGCCAGGTGGAAGCATACTGAAGTGTCCTGGTGGGCCTGAGCCAGGCGCAGGTGTCTGAGGACTACAGTTCATCTCAGGGTTTCTTGGAGTACAAGACCAGCATGAAGTTATTCTGATTTCTTGAGAATTTTGCTTTTTGTCTTCCCTTAGACCCTACATCTTAAACTTTATGGAAGAACCTCTATTTTGCATCATACCGTTTCTGCCCAAAATTGTACTGAAATAGAAAAGTCACTGCTCTTGCCCTTGGTAAAATAGAGCAGTAACCTTATGCACCTAATTCAAAAGGCTGAATATAGTTCTGTCAGGGCTTTTACGTAGACCTCTACTTGTACATGCAATCTGGACAGTTATGTGTTGAGGGAAATACAGTTTGGTTCCATGTTTATTATTTCAAATATTATCAGAAAAACCCAGAGGTGATATTTCTTATGAAGATGCTTGTAAATGGTTGTTTAACCCATTCTAGATGTAGGGTCTACTTAATGTGTGTACTATTCTAAGTGGTTGATTTTTTTTTTTTTGGATATGGAGTCTTGCTCAGTTGCTCAGGCTGGAGTGCAACGGCATGATCTCAGTTCACTGCAACCTTCATCTCCGAGGTTCACGTAATTCTCTCAGCCTCCCGAGTATCTGGGATTACAGGTATGTGCCACCATGCCCAGCTAAAATTTTCTTTTTTTTTTCTTTTTTTTTTTGGAAACAGAGAGTCTCACACTGTCACCCGGGCTGGAGTGCAATGGTGCGATCTGGGCTCGCTGCAACCTCCCCCTTCTAGGTTCAAGCGATTCTCCTGCCTCAGCCTCTCAAGTAGCTGGGATTACGGGGGCCCACCACCACGACCAGCTAATTTTTTGTATTTTTAGTAGAGACAGGAGGGTTTCACTATGTTGGCCAGGCTGGTCTTGAACTCCGGACCTGGCGATCTGCCCGCCTCGGCCTCCCAAAGTGCTGGGATTACAGGCATAAGCCAATGCACCCAGTCTTTTTTTTTGTTATTTTTTGTAGAGATGGGGTTTCACCATGTTGGCCAGGCTGGTCTTGAACTCCTGACCTCAAGTGATCCACCTGCCTCGGCCTCTCAAAGTGTTGCGATTACTAGTGTGAGCCACCGTGCCCAGCCAGTGGTTGAATTTTTTAAAAAGTTCATGGGGTGCTTGAAAATGAAAATATCTATCTAGATTTGTAAGACAGTCTACCTGCATGCTAGTGTGGCTTCCACACTTGAGTAAAAGTTTCAGAGTAGGCATCCTAGATTTCCCCAAGATGCTCTACTCTTAAAATAGTGCCATTCATTTTCTAGGTGGGATCGTATTCTACACTGACTGTATTGCTAGGGGTGGCCTGGAGGATCAGGCCTTTGGGAAGCAGCACCGCCTTACCAGCTTCCCTTCTCTCCCAAAGAACTTCCCCTCTTGGGCTTTAGATTGAGGAAGGGCTTTAGACTGAAGAGTGGTAGGCGGTACCACTGTGCTTTGATGAAAGACCCATGTGGCTAGCAACAGCGCTTACCTTTTGTCTCTGGGTCCTGGCCTGGGTAGGATTCCCGGGTGTTCTGTTGGCTCATTTGGGGCCATCAATCCACTTTGGACCACTCACTGTCTGCTCTGCCTCCACCAATCAGAACGCCTTCCAAGGAACAGTGAGAGCCAAAGCCAAGAGAAGCCTTGTTCCCTATTTGGTGATTGAGTGACAGTGGGTGAAATCCTCTCTGACAGAACTAGAAAGAACTCAGTGCTTAATGGTAGAGCTGACTCATCCTGAAGCCCATCTTGCCATGGTTTTACAGTGTTGGAAGCTTCTGCATTTGGTACTGGCAGTCAGTTTTAATAATGACTGTATATGGGATGTGATTTTATAAAGCAATGGAACATAAGAAAAGCCATATGTATGTATTCACTGACCAAAAATTCACTGACCAACCAAACCCCATACTTCATCTGGTCCCCCATAGACTTGGGGATGGGCAGCTATTCTTTGGCCGTATGGTATAAGAGGGTCATTCTTGTCACTACTAAAGTTAGTTTCATCCTTTTGTGCTGCTCTAAGACCAATAGGGTCTCTCCCAATAAAAAATATTCCTTAGCAGCCTGTAAACTGAGTGCAAGCAGGCTAACAATTTTAATAATAGTCCATACCATGTGTTTCTGTCAGCAGAATGTACATGTTGTGTAAAACCTCCAGGTTCCTTAAGGTTTTTGCTGTCCATGACTCTTCTATGGCAACTGTAGTCACAAAGCCAGAAGCCAAAGGGTCAGGGATATGAGAGGCTGACAAATGCTGGGGAACATCTGGGGAGGAGACCTCTGTCCTGTCATGTTTCTTGTGCTGCAGAGCTATTATGGCTGGTCTTCTATTTGCTTTTTCTTTAAGAGAAAACCATTTTTCTACTTTGCTTTTCTCCCCATACTTAAATGGTCAGTAGCTACTGAGTGGTGCTTTTATCTGACCAGGCCTGGACTGAAGCAAAATAGAAATGGGACTGGCTTTCCACAGGAGTTAAACTGCTTCAGAGCTCACAGTCCCATGCTCAGTGCCCGGAAACTAGCCTGTTGTCAGGAAATCTTCCCACAGGCCGTCCATTAGAGATTTCACTAGATATCTTCAATAGAAATAGTCTGAGGCAAGTGGGAGTGGGGAATGGAAGCCTGGGTTGGGAGAATTTTTTTTTTCATTCTGTTTGCTTAATTCAGGGTACAGTTTGTGCCATTTTGTATCTGTACTCCAGGCAAAAATATAACTTGAAAATACTGTATCTAAAGAAATTTCAGTGTTCTATCATCATTAAATTATTTACTTAATATTTGAGTCTGATGAATTTCATTTAAGTTCTTTACATCCATGCTGGTAACCAACTGTCAGGAATGTTACACAGAGTTCTGTATAGTAGTGTGTCAAGGCAGTGGTTTTATATTGCAATAAGCATTGCTTTTTGTCAGCAAGACACCCGATGTAAAATAATTTCACTGTAGATAAGGTAACAAAAAGATTTCTGTGCACCGCAGTTACAGAACTTGGCCCACTAGAATTACTTTCTCCCTCTACCTCTTTCTATCCCTCTATTTATAAAAATAAACTCTCTACTCTTAAGTTTTAGATGATTCTATTCCAAGTTAGTAAATTCTACTTAAGAAAACAAGCATGTGAAGCGCCAAGATGGCTGACCAGAAGCAGCTGGTGTGCGCAGCTCTCCCAAGAGGAGATGGAGTGGTGAATGAACACGAGCTCTTCAGATTGATCGTCCCACAGGCTGTGTTGGGATTCATCAAGGAAGCAGTGGTGACTCATGGCCAGCAGAGGGCAGGAAGGCAAGACAGCTACCCACCTGGGATTGGTGCAGAGCAAGGGGAGGCTCCCTGCAGCAGGGAAAGGGTGAGTGAGCGAAGGCTTCTGAGGACCAACACTTCTGCCATGGACCTTTGCAATCCCCTGGCACAGGAGGTCCTCCTTGACTCCACCCGCCCCCCACAGAGAGCTACTTGGGAGTCTGGGCAGAGCCACTGCTCAAGCCAGTGTGGATCCCTGAGAAGCCCAGCACCAGCTGCCATAGCCTAGCCAGCAAGGTAGGCCCGGGTCTCTTGTGTGCCCTAGGATAGGGGCCATATCCATGGTGCTGGGGAGTGGACAGACTGCAGGCCTCACCTCTGCTGCACCTTGCCAGGCAAGGCCCACTGGCCTGGGCCTCCATCGCAGCCATCCTACCCACCACCTGACACTGCAGCTGGTCACAGCCTTCATTTCTCTGGGATGGAGCTCCCAGGGGTAACCAACAGGCCCTCTGCACTGCTGCAGCCTGTGCGGCTGCTGCCCTCAGGCTGGAGAGGGAGCAAAAAGCCCAACAGCTGTTACAGGCCTCCAGCACGCCACAGCTGCCACATGGAAAGGCAGCCAGACTGTTTTCCACACGATTCCCTGGCCCTGCTGCTCCTCACTGGGCACGGTGCCTCCTGGCTTGGGCCCAGCACAGGTCCTGCCTGATCACTTCAGTTGGTGGTGGCTCTGTGTTTCTCTGGGATAGAGCTCCAGAGACAATTGACAGGCCTCAACCATTGCTGCCACCACAGTACCCACCCTTGTTTCCTCCAGGCTAAGGAGGGAATAACGATCACTTTCTCACAGCATCCTACAGAGAGGAGGTCAGACTGTCTTCTGGATCAGGTTGCTTGACCACCTGCTCTTCAGGCAGGACCCCCAGCTCAGGGCCGGCAGCACATTGCCCCAACCCTGGCTGCTCACTCCAATTGGCTGTGGTTTTGCACTTGTCTGGGGTAGAGTCTCCAGAGGCAACTGATAGGCCCTCTGCCATTGCCGCTGCCGGGGTCCCACCCCTGCTCTCCCTAAACTGAGGAGGGAACAAAAAGCCTAAGCCTGCAAGATTGCAGCTTGGGAGTGCCAAGGCGAGATCTGTAGCAGGCACTAGACCCGGAGAAGAGCCCACACTCAGTACTGAGAGGACTGAGTTACATGAACTTGTGGGCTACCACAGAAGTGGGCGGGCCTCCCTCTGCAGGGCCAGCTGGCTGGAAAACGGGTGGCCTATCTCCCTACCACAGCCTTGACACAAGAGACATGGGCACAGTGCCATTGGTTGGAAGGGACTCCCCCAGGGCCCAGGAGCGGACCTGATGAGGTGGTCACCGTTCTTCCCACTGTACCGCAAAGCACAGCCACAAACACCAGGAAATACAAAGGAGCTATGTGGCTAAGATCCGTGTACTGACCATTACTCTTAAGCGCCATCTACTGGAATTCAGCCCAAACTACAAAAATAGTTTACTAAGACCTTCCTGTAAAACTGAGGTAAGAATTCAACCACAAAGACCCTGCACAGAGCCTTGGCCCTCAGAAAACATGAAGAAATGCAGCCAATTGACTATATTCAACATACACCATGGTTAAAGGAATACAAACACTCAGATGAGAAGAAATGAGCACAAGAACTCTGGCCATTCAAAAAGCCAGAGTGTCTCCTTACCTCCAGATGTTACTTACTCCACTAGCTCCCTAGCAATGGTTCTAAGCCAGTTGGAAATGTCCGAAGTGACAGATGTAGAAAACAGAATCTGGACGGCAAGGAAGCTCATCAAGATTCAGAAGAAAGTTGGAAACTAATCCAAGGATTCCAGCAAAGTAATCCAAGAGCTGAAAGATGAAATAGCCATTTTAAACCAAACAACTTCTATAGCTGAAAAATTTACTAGAAGAATTTTATAATACAATTGCAAGTATTAACAGCAGAATAGACTAAGCTGAGGAAAGAATCTCAGAGTTCTAACCAACTCAGACAAAAAAGAATTTTTTTTTTTGAGACGGAGTTTCGTTCGCTCTTGTTACCCAGGCTGGAGGGCAATGGCGCGATCTCAGCTCACCGCAACCTCCGCCTCCTGGGTTCAGGCAATTCTCCTGCCTCAGCCTCCTGAGTAGCTGGGATTACAGGCACGCGCCACCATGCCCAGCTAATTTTTTTG